GAAAAAAAAAAAAAAAAGCTTAAAGAGAATATCAAGCCAAAAACACATACAATAGTTTTTCCTTTAAATTTTAATGTATAATTTAAAGCATGTTTAACATTATTAGGATGAATTTTAATCCATTTAGTGCTAAAAGGGAAGCAGAGAATTAGTAAATCCTAAACTCCACAACTTGCTTCACCTGAAAATTTAGTTACAAGGCTGCTAAAACATATTTTTCAGCTCTTTTGTCCTGGGAGCTTTTGAACTGTTATGCAGTTTGGTTCTGGAATAGAATTAAAATGAACATTTGATGGCATACATAAAGCAATTCTTGCATTCTGCCCTGTGGTCAGGCATGAAGGAGCCAAAGTGCACAAAGTCACACTCTGCTCTCAGAGCTTCTCTCTGGCACAGAGGATGGATAACTAAAGAACACACAAAAGACAAAAAATACCCAAACATGTATTTAAAAAATCATTATACCACTATTAACATCTTTATCATTTAACAGAAATACTGGTTAAAACAGTCCTGAATCTGCTGTAGAAAGGAGAATGGCTAATTTAACCCTTTTCAAAATGATAGTTTTCCCATTATATATATTCAATTCATTTTAAAGGATGGATGATGCATCATTCAAAGTTGACTCTCCTTAAATATCCTTCTTTATGTTAAAGTTTCCCAAACTCTCTTTCCTTTTTGCACCAACCAGCAGGAATTATGCTCCACAAAGCACTGTCCTTAGAGTAGGATGAAGAAATGTGTATCACAGAACACCTTATCAACTAGATAAGCCACATTTTACATTCAATACCACCAACAAACATTGGAAAGATGTGTGCCATTCCCCTAACGCCTCCCTAATAACCATAAAGACCTGGTATTTGTCACAAAAATACACTTATCTTAAAAGCAACAATTTGTTATTTTCAATTATATTTATGGGGCTAAATATTTCATTGTCAAAGAAGCCTGGGAGATAATTATACTCTAAATTATGCATCAGTTTAAACAGAAGTGCCACCTTAGGTCAATACTTGTATACCTTCTGCTGTACAGAATTACATCAGCTATTTTCAAGAAATATTTAGCTTAAAGCACTATCTAAGTATATTTTCAGGACACATTTTGCCCAAATACATAATGCAGTAGGTTGAATCCAACGAGAGGAAATACTTGATTACCTAAAGAGTTTGCTAGTACATGGAGAAAGGCAAATCAATGGTTTATTTTGTCTTACTGATCTGTACTGTCTTACACTTTCTCCTAGTGTCTGTGCAACCAGTTCACTCTTTCACTGTGGGAAGTAACCAAGAGAAGATCAAAAAAGTAGTCAGGGGTCATATTTTGAAGGTTCAGTCCTACAAGCCATACCTAGGAGTAGGGATTTCATTCAACAGAAAATGGAGAGTCACTAAAGATTCACAAGAAGTAGGATATGATTCTATTCCTATTTGCTAACTCCTGTGAGAGAGCAATGGGTGGACTCCTGGGTGGCAGGCTCACTAGGAATAGGAATGGTGAAGAAACCAATGGAAAGTTACTGAAATACTTCAGGAGGATGAAGATGGTCAGAATTAAGGCAGTAACAACAAGAATGCATAGATTAAATCAAGACATATTTGGGTACTAGAGACTACCAAGTTTTATGACCCACTACTTGCAAAGGAGTTATCAAAGATGACACATGGTTTGTATGAAGGGATGATGAATGGTGCTTTTTGCCATGTCTCAAATTTTAACAGCAACTGGTTGCAATATAGGCCAAATAATAAATTCAGTTTGGAAAGTTTTTATTTCAAGTGGGATATGAATTGAAGATGTGCAGCAATTTGAGTGTTTTGATCTGAAGCTCCTCAGTACAGGTATTAATTTGGAAGTCCTAGGTACATAGAAGGCAGCTGATATCACAGATTCCTTAGGGAAAGACTTCAGGGTAACAGAGAAGTGAAAGAAGACCCAAAAGGAAGTTATGTCAGAGAAATCAAGGGAGAAGGAAATCTCAGAAACAGAATAATAATAGTAAAAAATAAATAAAAGCAACAAAGGTGTCATGCCTATGGTATTTAGTTATTAGGATGTCTGCTGGACATGGTGAAAGCTGACAGCATGAAACTGTTCATGGGAAGCGTGAAGAGGACAGACCTCCATGAGCCAGCAAATGATCAGAAGCTGAATAAGCACAAAGTATTATGTTTACCTATAAAAGGAGTAAAGGGTGAAAGTGGCCACTGCAAGGGTAGTTAACTCAAAGGACAGAGGATGAGAGAATTGGGCATGCACATAGGATGCAGGGATGGAGCCCACGGAACAGGCAAAGGAGTAGATAGAGGATAGAATGGTGGATATTGGTTGAAGCTATGGAGAAATGAAAAGGAATGGGACTAGGAATACAGACAGGATTACTATTACAGGGAGTTACCTCTTCATCTAAGGTCACAAGAAAGTAGATGAAGATGATGTAAGAAGGAATTTGAGAAACATAATTCATGCCTAATGGCCTCTACTTTTTCTATGAAGAAAGATAAGAGGAAATCTGCTGAGAATTTGTAAAGGTAGAGAGAGAATACAGGCAGACTTGAATATTAGGGATAGGATTTTATTTTTCTTTCAAACATAAAAAGTAGGATTCTACTAAAGGACAAATTAATCTTACATAGAAAAAAATTCAAATGAAGCCAATTTTACAATTGGATTAACTTCATTTTTCCCCATTTGGAGTACATACCAGGATTTTAAAAAATAGCCAATTTCCCCCAAAGTCTGTAAACATATACTGATCTTCATTTATGCCAGTTCCATGTTGAGTGCTAAGAAAACAAAAAATGAGGAAGATACAGTCACCACCCTGTTGAAGTTATGGTCGAAATTTGAAGAAGAAGAAAAACTAATTTCCTAAGACAGAGGTATGCACAAGCTACTATTGTAGCAAAGAGCTGAGCATTTAGCCTTGGAGGAGTGAGTCTTGGTGGATGATCGGGGTGAATCAGGTGAAGAGAGGACAGTATATCAGATTACTTGGACTGAGAGTAGAGGCCAAAGACACAGAGCATGAGAGAGTGCAGTGTGTGCAAGCAGCTACAGGGGGGAACTATGCTCACCGCCACATTCAACTGGCATTGAAAATTTATTATGTGGTAGTCTCAAAATGAGGCTATATTTCCTTCCCTCCTATAGAATTCTAATTAGGAAGAGGACTCTTTTCCCACAGCCTAAACATACAACTAGAATTTTTTACATTTACTTGGTTGCCTGTGCTTCGGTATTAGTCTTACTGGTTAGGCCACAGCTTTCACAGTCCCTCTTCCCTCATGCAAACTTCTAGACTCATTTTGCTTCTTTAAGATTTCAATACCAAACAGCTGTGCTACATAAGTATTGGGAAAAGATGGTAAGAATACACTGGACTATTAACAGTGATTCCACTAGGGTGGGAGTTGGAAGGAAGGGGAGAGGTAAGAATAAAGGATGGAAAATGTGGACTTCTACTTCTTTAACAAATTTAAAGAAAGAGTGGGATTATGAATACATTTTTCTCTTTTGATGTTTTTAGTATTTTTAAAAAAAAAACACTAAATATAATTCATAATAGTCAAATAGACACAACAGCAGCTAAGTTTTATCAGCTGTTTTATAGTCATCAATTCATTTTTGTATCTTGCTACTATGAATGCACTATGGTCCCCCTTTTGCAAATGAGAAAAGATTGGCTTTGACAGGCTGAGTAACTTGCTTACGGTCACACAGCTCCTAAGTGGCCCTGAGATTTGAAACAAGGCAGGTAACTCCAGAGCCCATCCTCTCAGGTAGACTTTCCTCCCACCTATGGT